TTTCAAGGTCTTGAGACATGCGCGGCATCTCCATGGTGGGGCTTTCACGGACGCCATCTCTCTCTGAATGCGGTGCAGAAAAGAAGGGTCTTGACTGTGATGTGCTGACAAGATGGTGTAAATCCGTGCCAGCTGTTTCACAGACAAACGCTGAAAGCCTCTCGTATGTAGGAACCACTGCAAACGTGCCTTGGCTCTGGCGCGCCTCTGTGATCTCTTCTGCGCAAAGGAAGTCGTAATTCACCTTGAGCAGGATCAAAAAGAGGATAAGGAAGATCGGAAGTGCCTTGCACATACACCGAAGCGGCCAGGAAGTACACGGGCAAAGCGAGGTGATCACCAGGAACCCTGGGAGAGCACAATGCCACGAGCAGCGCCGCAGCCGCAAGGCAAACCGAAAGAGTGTGCTCGCAAAGGCAGGAATGTGGCAGCAGCACACAACCAGCCCGCGGGTATCGCACAAACCCGCTAAGTTCAACAGCTGACGGGGGGTACCCGAGGAGCCGAGACCTTTTAGATATATAAATATCATTAAATATACTATTATTATATCATTCCCCAAAAGATCCCAATAGCACCGATGCACTTGTGATCCACAGGTGAACGTGCTGGCAGCTGAGTACCCCGGACACTTGGATAGGTGTCGATCCCAGGAGATGATCTCATTGGAAAACAAGTTTTTTTTGGTCCCTTAAAAGGGGGACAAAAAAATACAAAACATGTTTTTGGGCTTAACATGTCTTACATTTTTTTACCTGATTATAGTGAATTATATATATGTTTTTAATCAGATAAACTTAAATTGTAGTACATGTTCTTACCAGATGACCCATGATTCTGCATGATTGTTTTGCAAAAAAAAGACCAGCAGAAATGAAAAATGTATGTTACATTTTGGATCTGATCCCCCAGTGATATTGTATCAGATATACATATATATATATACCATTGATTTGGATCATATCCATTGATTTGTATATCTACTACCAGTGATATTGTACCAGATCTATATAATTATATATATACCAGTGATTTGGATAATATCCGATATCCATTGATTTGTATATCTACTGTATCTACTAGCAGTGATATTGCACCAGATCTCCGAGGATATGGCCTTCTACATGCCATGGAGCCCTCGGAGGATGCAGTGTACGAAGTGGCACTGACCACCTTCCGATTCCTGGTGGATGTGCCTCGGAGAGGTGAGTCGCCAGCGGTTGATGGCTTGATGTTTGGCATATGTGATAAGTGTATGATTTTGTCATATGTTTGGCTATATTTTGATTTATTCATATATATATATAATTAGATTCTTTATTATGATGATATCATTATGATATGATTTAAAAAAACTGTATATTTTGCAATATGTTGCTGGCCGGTAGCATCATTAATAATTATGTTCTATGTTGAACTAGAGTTTTAGGGGATGATCCATCGGCACAACCGAGACACCATGGGTTGTTTGTTTTATGTTTTTTCCTCCCAGGGTGACAATATCGAAACTCATCAAAGCTATACAGCTGGTTGGTGGTTTTAAACATTTTTTATTTTCCATAATATATGGGATCATCCTTCCCATTGACCAGATATTTTTCAGAGGGGTTGAAACCACCAACCAGATAGAGTTGCCAATCCCTATCATCCAATAGATCTTGATGAATTACCATTACATTGGATCTCCATACATTGCCAATCTATTACTATTACTATTACTCATTTTTATGATTGCCAATCCCTATCTCCATGTCCAGTTGCCTTAGGAGATTGGCGTGAGATATTCGCAGATCATTCTCTTTGGCAGATCCTTAGGGAGCGGCCCAGCGGTTCCTCGGAAGAGCATCTGGATAGCGGGGTTCCATTTCTATGGGGCTGGCTGCCAGAATGGATGGTTTATACCCTCTGGTAAACTAACATAGCTATGGAAAATCACCATTTTTAATGGGAAAATCCACTATAAATGGCAATTTTCAATAGCTACGTTAAATTACCAGAGGGTAATGGAAAATCCTATTCAAATGGATGATTTGGGGTACCCCATTGTAGGAACCCCCCTACAGTGTAGGTTTTATATACTGTAGAAAGGGAAAATCATCTGGAACAGGTGGAGTTTCCAGCCAGCCACGTTTGATGAGCGGAGGCTAATTCTACCGTATTTTGGGGAGATGGACATATTGAATCATAAGTCAAGTCTTCACCACCCCAAAAGTGACCCCAATAAAATTGACGATTAAAGATGCATGAACCACTAAAAGACCTTGTAAACATGTATTAACCATCTACAATATTCTACAATATCATCTGGGGGTGTCAAATCCCCATGAAAAAGAAGAGCGGCTTGTGACGCCCTGGCCGTCAGGTATTCTTGGCTGCGCAATACCCTGCACCCTTGGCAGCACTTAGCTGGGAGCCTGGTGTGGCCTCTTGTGATTTGAACTTTCATTAACTTTTTTTTGGCCAAGTGCCTTCTTCAGCCATTTCCACAACCTTCCAAGATGAATATATCAGGTCTATAGTTTGCAAAAAAACAAGCACTTACACATGTATATATATATATATGCATATATACATAATGTTGTATCCTGATTAGTGTGGTGGGTCGGTTTAGTGACAAGTGATCCCAAAATAATTCAGGATCACGGTAAATAATTGGGTGGGTCGGTTTTGTGGAAAGTTTTTTGTGGAAAGTTTACAGTATTGTTTTTTCATTTTTGAATTGTTTTATTGTGTTTATTTGTTGTTTAATTTTATTTCAATTTTTATGTTGTTTATTTTTATCTTTATTTAGTTTTAAAAAAAAAAACAGTTTTTGCTTAATATGTTTCAGTTTTTTTCTTGAGCAATATTGATCCGAAATAATATGTTTGTTGTGGTGGTGCTCTATTGTGTCCAGCTGTTGTCTGAAGAATTTGTTCTTTCCTTTTTTCAGTTGGTTTTCATGAGCAATATTGATCCTAAATAATATGTTTGTTGTGGTGGTCCTCTATTGTGTCCAACTGTTGTTTGAAGAAACAATTTATTAAGGTTAATTATCAGCCATCAGCAATAATTAATTGATTATATAGGATGCATTATTAAAACCCAATTAAAAAAAGCATTCAAACAATTTTTCAAGGAAGTAGTCCATGAGCAACCCTGATCCTCAATAGTATGTTTGTTGTGGTGGTCCTCTATTGTGTCCAGCTGCTGCCTGAGGTGAAAAAAAATCAAATTATCCTTGTCCTTTGCTAAAGTTTGTTCTTTTACTTTCTTAGTTCCATTCTTTTGAAATTCTTAGAAATGCCCAATTTCCCAATATATATATATATATATATACATATAATGCCGCAATGCCTTTTTAAAACCAAATTAAAAAACAGCACTCAAACAATTTTTCAAGGGAGTAGTCCATGAGCAACCCTGATCCTTAATAGTATGTTTGTTGTGGTGGTCCTCTTATGTGTCCAGCTGCTGCCTGAGGTGAAAAAAATCAATCATTCCTTTTGTCCTTTTCCTTTGCCAAAGCTCTTTTCTTTTATTGTCTTGATTAGTTTCAATTGAAAGTAAATTGAAATCAATTGAAAATCAATTGAAAACATGTGAAAATCAATTGAAAATCAAATTAAAATCAATTGAAATCAATTGAAATCAAATTGAAGTCAATTGAAAGTAAATTGAAATCAATTGAAAATCAACTGAAATCAATTGAAAGTAAATTGAAAGTAAATTGAAATCAATTGAAATCCATTGAAAATCAATTGAAATCAATTGAAAATCAATTGAAAGTAAATTGAAATCAATTGAAAATCAATTGAAAATCAATTGAAAGTAAATTGAAATCAAATGAAAATCAATTGAAATCTATAAATTCCACACTATTCAGACCCGTGAGCTTGAAAATTTCTACACTAAAGAGACTCAAAAAAATGTTTAGGGGGGGCCTCACACTAATCAGGATACTACATTATATATAATCATATTATATGCCATGTCACCATATCCCCATATGCCCTCCAGTTTGGTTCCAGGCATGTTCCACCCCACCAGGTGGGCGGCCTGATCCTGGTCTCGGCCTTCAGTAGCATCAAGGCGGCGGTGCAGAGCATCGTAGGACGCGTCTTGGCCTGGACATTCACCGAGCGCTTTCCCAACAGCAGGCGCGGACCTGACGGGCCTGGCGGCGAGCTGATGGAAGATGAGTTGGGAAGATGAGTTGGGATGGAGATGGGGATGAGAACATGTCCGATGGTTTTGACGTTCAATTTGTTTTTGGGGGGAAGTGGATGGGAGAAATTGATGAGAAATGGATGAAGCTGAAAATGGTGGAATTCAGGATCAAAGGTAGAGGATTTTCTGCGAAGAAAATGATGGCAGATGGGATGGGATAACTGGGTGATGATTTTTGATCCCATGGGAAGAAGGATGATCATACTGGGGATATATATAATTCACGGGGATAGAATGGGATTAAATGGGGATAGAATGGGATGGGATGAGATGAGATGACATTGGTTGGAATGAGGATTGTGGATGTTTTGGGAAGGTTTGGAATTTGTTTGCTGGATTTGTTGGTCCTGTGTTTGTTGGAAGCAGGTCTGACAGATGATGATAAAGGAAAGAAAGGATGTCAATACATGCGAAATTTGTCATGGAAGTTGCTGAGATTGCACAAGGAGTTGATTGATCATCAGCAATGACACGTAAAGATGCCCAAGTTGTTTTGTTTCCTGGGCTGTTTGATGCTGTGATGCTTCCCATTGTTGGCCAATTGTGCTCGGTCACACCCCCAACCAAGCCCGTCCAGCTGACAGGATCATTGCAAACGTCTCATGTTCCACGCTGTTTATCCATGGTGAAGCTGATAGCTTGATCCCAGCAGAGCATTCGCTGAAACTCTTCAAGCAACTTGCCCAATTGATGGGGGAAACGGTGTTGCAATGAGTTTAGGACAAATGATTGGGGAGAATCGGAAAAGCTGACCCATGAGATTGCATGCAAATGTGACCACAAGTGCCCAAAGCTGCACGCCTTTACTGTGAGGTGTACTTCCTTTTGCCTTTTGCCCGCATGCATTAACATGAACAGTCGGTACATAGTTGTTCCTACATATGCATACAGACGTTATACATAATTGCAGTGCTTACGCTGCATATATACACATGTGTGTCATTGTGTATCTACATGCGCATCTGTAGTATTAAATTTCACGAGCTCCTGGGATTTTGTGTTTTTTAGGGAATATTGGATATCAAGGTCAAGATGCAATATTTGGTGCAGTGTAAAAATATGTTTGCAAATTGTGTAAAAACATGTCTTTTTTGCCGAGCGAAGGTGCGATCTCCGACTGTTTCCAACCGTTTCCCCTTGGACACCTTTGGACCTTCAAAAAAAAAACGGCGTTGCGCGGAAATGCTTATTTAAAAAAAAATGCGAGTTGAACAAGTTTTTGCCTGATCATGTTTCCGACCGTTTCCGACCGTTTCCGACTGTTTCCGACCGTTTCATTTTTTCTGAACGATTAATTGGACCACTTCCATTTATGGAAGGCTGATCCAGTGCAAACCCGTGCAAACCATGACGCTTAAGTTTTTTGGTGCCACCCTTGTGCGCGTACACTGCACCAAATATTGCATCTTGACCTTGATATCCAATATTCCCTAAAAATCACAAAATCCCAGGAGCTCGTGAAATTTAATATTCTGTAGATTGTAGTACATATATATATATATATAAATTTACATACACACACACACCGCATATACGTAATTATATTTGATTGTTTCTGCAATGCAGTACAATGCATATGTTCACATTCATCATCCCAGGTCATCACCCCCCAATCATTTTTAGGTCCCACCGGTCCCATCTGAGCCGTGTGAGGCGATGCCGTGCCCGGAAGTTACTGGTGACACCATCCAAGATGGAACACAATTCAAATCTCTTTGGCGACGCCTCATTCCTGGCACCTTAGTTGGGATTGGTCACCTTGGTCACCTTGGGGGGATGGCCAATGATGGCCATGGTATCCCCATGGTATCCATGGGATCCCCATGGGATCCCTATGGGATGGGGACAGGATTGAGGACCCTGGGGAGCCTTTCAAGATGAATAGGTGAGAGCCATGGCACCGCCAGGCAGTGCCTGCGATCCATTTCTTCGGGTTCCCAGGCGCAACCGGGACCAAATCCATATGGTGAGAAGCCTCTCCTGGCCTTTGTTCTAATATGTTTTGATTATAAAAGTGAAGAAGGCAAACGTCGGGGTAACTAAGTCTTTTTGGATAGCTCAATATGTTCTATGATCGAATATCAAATATCTAAATATTGTTTCGCATCATGTCCACTGCCGGGTTTTGATTTAAGACTAAGATGTTCAGACACGAAAGCCAAGTGAACAGTGGCAAAACTGTTCAATGATGTTGATTGAGGGGGCATATGTCACAGTATATATATATATATATATATCCCATCAATCAGACTATATGCCATATCTAGCAGTCTATCATGTTAGTTCAAGTTGATTCAAGTTGTTCTTCCCAGGGCTTTTCTCAACTGAGCCAGGCTACTACACCGCATCACCTCCCAGATTGCCCGCCTATTTGTTTGAGGATCCAGCCAATCGAGCCTTGACATATTCAGGGCCGCACTGTCCTCGGTGCTCCGCCTGAGGAAAGTGTCACTAGGCACGTTTTTGCATGGTCGGTCCAAGATGACCTTGTTGGTTGAAAATATGGTCATGAGTGAAGAGTTATTCCAGTTGGTAGTGATTTGTGTTGGACCTAGACATGACGCATTAAGATTGATCAAGTTTCTGACTTGCAGAGTCATATCGCTGGTCCAGAAAAGGCTTCAAAAAAAACACTTAGTTGAATTTGGAGGTGGGTTGCTCAATGTTCCTCGCAGCTACCCTAAGGAGCACGCATGCTGAAAGACCGCAAGGACCTGTCAACCAGTGTGCCATTGAAAATCTGAGGAAGTCACAGGTTTGCGTTGGCACACCAAGTTATGAGGCATGAAGGAATCCAGTATCCGGGGTATATGAGAAAAGCAAAAACCCCAAAAGCATCCAAAAGCGGGTATCCATTGGCCCATGGTAGGTGACATCCCAACATGAGCCATTATTGTTGTTGGAATCCTCACTATGATCACTATGTTCACCAAGAAGTCCGAAGTTGTTTCCAAATCAAACTGGATATACTGAGAGTTACTAACCATCATTGCCATGATTTCAACTTTGACCTTTTCATGGTTAGTGTCAATTATTGCTGCTTAACCATGGTTGCCATAAGTACCAACTCATTGCCAACACTGGGACCACCACCTCCAGATTCGACCTTTTCAGCAGGAGTCTTTGCCACCGATGACCAGACCTTCATGGTGCCTTCGGCATGGGGGTGGATAATCCAAGGCCACACGCGCAGGACAGTCTGGATTGAATACATTGCTGAATGGCCCTCTGAGAAACAAGCCTTCATTATGTTTACAATATGCATACGTATAACTATATATATACATACACAATCGTATCATATGATATGATATGATATGATATGTATATACTGTGTATGTATATATATATATATTATATTTAAGCACACTCATGCGGAAATGCGCGTTCTTATGTGCATCTTTGTGTCCCCAAGCATCATCTTAACACGGCAGTTTTCAATGCATTTCACGACTCCCTACCGGATCCAGACCTAGGCTGTGCGATTGCTTGGCCAAGGGTGATGGCCAGCAGATGGATGTGACTTTCTGTCGCCAGGATGGCAGCGTTCAATCCATGTCACATCTGTCTTTGGCCGATGCCTTTAACAGTATTTGGCTGTTGGGTGTATACTACTGCATCATATATATATATATAGAGAGAGAGAGAGAGAGGGTAAAAAAATGAACAAAGTGTGTATATATATATATATAGATATAGTGATGTATAGTGTACATGTGTTATACACATACATATATATATATATGCGTATGTGTATACACAGTAGGAATACATTTTTCGTGCTGTCCACCTTTGAAACACTTTTCTGAAGCCGCAGCGGCATAGGAGAACTCCGTTGAGGACATCACCATCCGCTTCAAGGAGCAGGCATGCCAGCAGTTACCAACAGCGATTGATTGGTGGTTTCATATACCATAGCTATGGGATAGATGACCATATACGACCATTTAGTTCTATGATTTACCTATTCAAAATGGTGATGTTTAATAGCTATATATGTCAAATTGACTCAGGATATGTTTTTTAAAATGCATGTGGAAGTTGTTTACTGCATCTGCACGTTCATGATTAATTTTTCAAGATCAGGAAATCTACCATTGGACCCAACCAACAAGCATCACAGCCACCCACCAGTCAACAGGAGTCTGATCCTAACGAGCCTGACGAGTTGAAGGTCCGTGGTTGGGCAGTTGTTGAAGATCTATATATATATATATACATGCATATGACCTCATAGAACTATACATATACACATAAGGATGTGTGCGTAGGCATCGATATGTGTACATATACATAACTATGGATGTGTGTGTGTGTGTTTGTGTCTGTGTGCATGTATGTATTGATACGGTAGATAAGGATAGATAAAGAACAATTAGCCTGTACATGGGTATGGGTTTGCTTATTTCCGTCACCTACTTCGCAGTGGGTAGCGAAGATTCAGTACAATTGGGCCAGGGCGGCCAGTCCGACATCCATATCTTTCCTAAAGGTGCTTTTGCTACTCTCAGAGACGGGTATTGTGTTTACTCATTTTGCATGAGAGTAGTCTCACTATACTTCACGATATGTGATTGATTGGAACCATCCTGTGATCTTTCACCACAGCTGCCTATATCATGTGGAGGCCCATCCGGACAGAGAGAACGACGATATGATTGTGGATGATGCTTGGGTTATGTGCACATATTAGCGCACCGTCCCTGGATAAGATGTGGGTATGGTCATGATATGATGAGTGCCGTGCCGTCCGCGGTAGCCATAAAGGTGGCGCAGCAATGGAGACACCATCCGGGCCATGGACTTTAAAGGGATGCCTTCACCGTTGGCCACTAGACAGGCCGGACCCAAAGATAAGATATCCTCGGACCAAGTGGAATCTATATGTACTTATTATATATGTGTTTATAGAAATGTACATATATATATATGTATATATATGTGTGTGTAGATTATATACTGTATATCTATATTACATATACATAGGTTGGAATGTATTGGATGCCATTGGGTTTTTTCTCCTGCAGTTTCCAAAGCCATCATCCAGCCCCCCATGCTCCAAGGACAAGGAAAACATGGAGGAGCCCAGGAGGCCTGAGTGGCTTGGTGCAGCGGGACCCCAGATGGGGATGGGATTGCTGATTGGTGGTTTGGGACATGTTTTATTCTCCATAATATATGGGAATTATATGGGATAATCCTTCCCAAGTGACTTTCATATTTTTCAAGATTGTTAAAACCACCAAGCAGTAATTATTGTGTTCTACTGGCTTCATGTGTTTTCCTTTTTTTGCTACTTGCGCTGTTGAACTTGTACAGTTGCCATTCCCACACTCACAGATGCTAGTCATCGCTAGTCCGCCGGATTTTCATTTGGATCCTGCGACTGTGTTACTTGCCCGATTTCCCCTTCTTCTCAGCCCGGACAGCTCCGCTTCTCCAAGGAATGGTTTGTCCCAGGCCAAGTCCATCGTTCCTGGTGAGAGAGACCCTCAAGTCACTCCAAAAAGTGGAAGTTTCAACGAATACTCCGTGTTGTCAGTGGTGGCATGAGCAGTGGCCCTTGCCCTGAGAGGGTTAAGAGGTCATGGCTCCAGCTTGCCAACGCTTGCTGGTTGAGCCCTCCAGTAGTAGATCTGTTCAACTGTGCGGGGGAGATTAGAGGATGTTTTTGTTCACTGTTTTTGCACATGCGATGGGTACCGTATTTCTGTGTTTTGAGCTGTGAGCAAAGAATCCCATGCCAAAGGCAAGAAGACACGGATGACTAGCCTGTAGCTTGAAATCGTACCTGGAATGATGATGATCCCAATTGACGGATATTGTTCAAAAGGTTGAAACCACCAACAACCATCGCCACCATCTTATCATGATCATAGCACGAGTGGATTACCGAGGCCATGTGGGTACCGGTTAGCCAAACAATTTGCGCTGTGGGCATGATCTCTTATAGCTCTACAAATGGGGTACGGCGGTTTCAGGTTAGCAGATGAAACTTGGCCGCCCAAGCTGGGCACTGGGGAGGGCAACCAGCAAACCACGTCGAACGTGCAGCTTGCGATAGAGGTTGGTAGCTGCCAAGGGTGGAGCCGCTGGCCCTCCAATGCCTCTGGTAGGTGATCCATGGTGGTCCCTTGCCATATTTTGTCATTTTAGATATTTTAGTGGAGAGGAGATTTTCAGCAATCAGCAGATGTTTTGGCGGATGGGACCATCAATGGCTTTCCAATGATCTTCATCTAGTACCAAACGCAACCCATAAAAATCGAGGATATTGCGTGTTTCAGACACACCTGAAGCCTTTTATAATACCAAAAGATCTCCCCGTCCCCATAGCAAGACACACATCCTGAATGCCATGTTTTTCAGCAACCAGCCTCTTCCGCGGTCGTTTGAGAGTAGGAGTTTCACGACTCGAACCATTTCACCAGCTAATGGATTGCAAATCCCTGCGGTGTCCTTTCGCACTGATTGTTGCCTGTCAAGTGATCGCATGACAACCTATAGGATCTCAAAGCTTTCGTACCACATTGTATGTCAAGAACTCATGATCCGATTGGATCCGATTGGCATGTGGAAAATTTGGAGGACATCCTATGTGTAGTCGTTTCTGCTGACGCCCTCCCAGAGCTTAGGAGTTGGCGGTTTCGGCAGGAGCTTGGGAAAAATAAGAGCCCCTGAAGGTGGTGTTGCTGGGGTCCTTGGGTCAGGATTGACTTTCTTTAGACATGAATCATGAACTACGTAACTACATGACAGCATTTTGACGTAACCTCACTTCACTTTCCTCAAGAAAGCGAAGCTAGTGGATCCTGGGGCCACAGTGAACTTTGGGAAACCAGACGGTTTTGCTGTGGCTGCTCTTATGTCATACTTTGGACAATGAAAAGGATTGAAAAGGGTCGCTTGGACGAAAGCTCTGCACACTGTTCCTCCCGTAAACCTGGTCAAGTGGCAGTACAGGTGCCATATTTGAATCGAATGCCTCGTTGTATCCTCGTTGCATAGGTCCGAACTTAGCCGTTAGGGGCTTGGCCTGATATGTCAAATCAGAGTTTCCCTGCCCTGATCGCCTAGGAATGAGCGTGGCGCTGCTTGAGCCCAGTGTTGCTTGATTTATTGATAATGGAGGTTTGTAGGATTATGAAATATTGTTAATGTTTATATACGCCATTTGATCATTTAAGGCGGGTGATTATCATCAATCATGTGTCAGGTCCTTGTGCTTTGCACATCTTTGTGCCATGCACTGCACACTGAGTGTCCCAAACCTGGGGCTGCTTGCACTTCAAATAATATCTATACAGATCCCATCTCTCCATCTCCCCATGGCCCGCTGGTTGCATCTGGTTGCCGCTCCACAGATTGGGCACCAGCAGGTTGTGACCTGGACCTCCATGATCAATGCATGCGCAAACTGCCAGCCTCGTCGTGGCGTCGCTGCTCAGAAGGTCTTCCAGCAGATGCTGCAGAGCGGCGTGCAGCCCAACAAGGCAGGGCAGGTGCAGGTCCAAGGTATCACGGTATCATCGTGGTTCCTAAGTGTCCTAAGCTCCAGTTATCTCATGATTCTCATGGTATCCCCAGTTTTTCTATGATTTCTAATGATTACCATCTGGTTATTTAACATAGCCATGGAAAATCACCATTTTTAATAGGTAAACCATCTATAAATGGGCCATTTTCCATGGCTATGTTAAATAACCAGATGGTATGTTCTTCTTGGTTCGCAATGCCCCATCGCAGCTGGGAACATCTGGGAATTTGATGGAATTTCATGTTGAACGGAGATTTTGGCCCCCATTCCCCCGAAGTCAACTTTTAATGTTTCGGGGGTGGGATGGTTGGCCAGCACAAAGTGACAGTAATAGCTGTACGTTGTTATTCCTTTGGGAAATCCGTTGTCAATCAGGCTTAGAGAGAGAGAGAGAGTCAAATGACTTATATACAATATAATATATGTACAATCATTCAAAGATGATTTGTTTACATATACTATTAAAACCCCTATTAAACTATACTTATAACTTCTAATCTGGTTGTTCATTTGCCATTTGGGTATAGGTCAAACATGGGGTGCCAGCCGCCACGATGGCTGGTCACCTTGCCAGGTCACCTTGCAAGCCTTGGGTCGAGCTTTGGGCGGCTTGACACAACGTCGGTGTAACCACTCCGGTGTCGTCAAAGATGGCAGTGGAATAAATGGAGGTGCCCCATTTACACTACCAATAATAGTGGTTATAATACCAATAATAGTGGTTATAATAACAATAATATACACCAGTGATATCCGCAATAAATGGAGGTGCCCCTTGACTTATTACACTTGATTCACTTGATGTTTCCAGAAAGACACCGACTAAAATTTCTTGGGGAAGTTCCATCGCCATGTTTGATTGCCGGAGATCCCCATATCACAAGTGGTGGGCTGGATTCCCAGTGACTGGATCTAGCAAAATTGGTTTCAGGATGATAGATGGCAGTCGCACTAGCACATGCGTCGATCTCTGGGTGTGTGAATCTGTGGGTCTGGAAGGAGTAGGACAGGAACAGTATCACAGTGCAGTTCAACAAATACGCGAAACTACAAGCAACACGCTGAGATACATCGCACGTAAAGCTACACAAGACGCATGTTTTCCGCAGATTCCCTAGACGGATTTTCGTCCAACATTCCATGGGTTGGTGCATGGCGATCATGCTGCCATATCTTTGGAGCATCTCTTGGCATGTAGCCTTTGGCGCAGATTTTTTGGTTCATTGCTGCCATCAGGTTTTCAGCGACAACGTGCCTTCCTACAAAGTTTGGGTTGGAAACTCCAAGGTGACGGCCATGGCTGAAAGGTCGAGGCTGGGGTTGATGATCACCATGTGAGCAGAACATGACTTCGAAGTTTGTTTTGACAACGGCCTCTCTCAAATCGAACCTCTGGATGGCATATGGAAAAAATGGTTGGCTCAAATCTTATGACATCTTATGACCCCACACCGGAAGATTTGGGGAACTGAGTCTTGAACCATTTTGAACCAAAAAAGTCTTGCGATGGAAGCAGCCAATCTTTGGAAGCCACTGGGCATCCCCAGATGGAGATGGAACCACAAAGACCGAGTTCTGTTCTGACAACTGCCGGCTGGAATTCTATTCACATCTATTGATCAAGAACCATTCTTTTGATTTTCGAAGTGGGATATTTTCTGTCGTCTTCGATCTGATTTGCTGTGTAGGAACGCCTTCGCCGATTCGCCCGGCTTTCCTGTCATCGCAGCTCGGCAGTTAGGAGTGGTGGCAAGCTGTCGAAAGGAGAGGCACCAAGAAAGAAGTGGCATATCTCAGGAGGCGTTTGTGGGCTAAGGCTATTGGATATTGGGCTATTGAAGTGTGATTGTGTAGGGAAAAGTGTCAATATTGTCAATGGCATTTGAATCAGCGCAAGCAGGCCCCGACGGGTGGTTGCTTCATCCTGCCCAGTGCATTTGCCTAAGGACTGCCTGCATGAGCCTTGGTGATGCTGAAACTCCCGGCTGAGTTCTCCTGTGGCCAGTGTTGCCATGTGCCACTAAGATGCCCAAAATCGGAGTTTTTCGGAGAGCAACCCGTATGCCTTCAGACCCACAAGCAAGGCTTGTGCAAGGTCAACTGCGTTGGGGCCATTTTGAGCCTAGGATCGGGACCCACAGCCTGCACCCTTGGGTCACCCAACAGAGACTCCAGATGAAAGTAGTGTGTGGACTGGATCGACCTATGGACAGGTCCTGCTCAGCAAAAGGGCGCGCATTGAAACGATCAGACCGTGGCAGCGCGAAATTCGTGACAGTCTTTAGAAAGGGAATTGAAGCACAGACTCGCCAGCACATTTGGGATCTTGTTTCATCACTTGCTTTTCTATGTGCCCGGGCCCGAAAAATTGAGGGCACCCAAAATGCCAAAACCCACCAATTCACTTTGCGCTGAAGGGCACAGGGGCCAAATTTGTCCAATGTTCTCAATTGGCCAACATGAGTCAGTAGCTGCCTTTTTTCTGGAGCAACTGCATGGCAGGTTCGGAACTGCACATCCCCAACTCCACGTTTTTATGGTGACCCAACTGCACAGAGATTGTTGGAAGCTGCTGAAAAATATGCTTTATAATTAATATATTGATCTGTATTGTCTCTATACTTCAGGATCATAGATTCTGGCATTATTGCCTTTCTATCACTGGATTGGTTTAAGGGAAAATTTACAGGAAACCATGGTTTTTACCATCGAATATAGGGCTTTCCTGTAAATTTTCCCATCATCCAATTCTATGCTTCTATGCCCTTCTCACATTTGTCCTGCTGATATCGGCCATGGCATTGGTATTCATTGGTCATGACCTAGCTGATGAAGCCATGGCAATTGACAGTGGTGGCTTGAAGCCGCACATTCTTTGAAGAATATCTATGAATATGTTTTATAGTTATATATAAATAGATATATAAAATAACTTATATATATATAACTATATATATAACTATATATATATGTATATATATATATGTGTGTGTATATGTGTCTGTATGTATGTAATGTAATGTAATGTAATGTAATGTAATGTAATGTAAATGTAATGTAATGTAATGTATGTATGTATAGCCATAGTCATAGTCGCTGCTGTTTCTTTGAACTCCAATAATTCTTGAGGCACACCTATCGCAAGCTAGCGCACTCTTGAGTCCCACAGGAATTGACATGATTCAGCTCGCATGAGTACAGTACAGTGTCAAGATGTGTCAAACATATTATCATATATATTATATATTGGTAACAGGCAACTAATTGCAACTATGGGCGTGTCTTTCCAATGCATACATATATATATATGCTGCCAATGGGTTTCTCTTGAAACCCTCCCGTGCTGGTCTGCCACCAAGGCTGGGGTTTCCTTGCTGATGACTGCGTCCTGTGCGCCGAGCTGCTGCAAGAATCCGCTTGGAGGCAGGGCGATGGCCCTCGACTGTAGCCCTTTTAGTTTCGTGGCTCATGAAATCTATTGAAATCTGAAACCCCAAAGTCCATCAAAATCCCATCAAAGTGGATTAACAATTAAGCATGAAGTTACGATGAATTTTTTGGGTATCACGGTATCACCATATGTATCACCCATTTTGCAACGACCGTAGAGCTTGGTCGCATCTGTAGAGCCTGGCTGTGGTCTCCTTGGGGTGATCCGCAGCATTCACCAGTTTTTCTAACGCAGAAACCCAACAAGTTGCCGATTTACAACAACTAAAGATACTAAAGACATCTATAGACTAAAGATATAAAGGCTAGGTATAGTTGGTTGGATGTTTGAAACTTTCCAGAGAGCCTTGGCCAAGTAATGCCAAGTAAAGTATGCATAGTGAAACAAAATCCGGGGAAGCGTTTAAAATCAGGGTGGTCAATGTTTGTCAGATACCTTGAGTGTCACAACAGCAAAGTCATCACAGTTGTCATGTCTGCACTGGTTCCGATTCTTGCAATGCAAACACGAGCTGGGCTGTTACTTCTGAAAGACAGCGCGCAATGAATCTTGCAGTGCATTGCAGTGCCACGTTTCAGTTCTGTCCACAGGAGGGGAAGTGTGAAAGTGATAGCACGTGCAATTGCTTCGAAGCCTTCGGGCAAATGCGGTGTGGCTAAGTCCAGTAACTCCAGCAGAATGAGTTTTTGATTGTCAAACCCTCCCTGGTCCTGAAGTTGTTTCATGGTTCTTCTGATTTTTTGTTGACCTGACCGACCACCCCATGTGCCCTCACGGCCTTGAACACCCTGGCAGTTCTGAAACGCAGCGCCGCGAGTGTCGCGACTGCGGCGCAGGAGACTGCAGGGATGGTAGTGCAAAGTGCCCATTGTTTTGCTTTGTTTGATGATCATCCTGTCTTGTGTATTATAAGTTAATCTAAAATATAAGTGTGTGATATTTCTATAGATTTGCTCCTGTTCGGCAATGTGGATCAATTTGGGATATGATCCGCACCATCTCAGGAGAAACTTACATCAGGCTCAGCGAGGACCAAGGCAGATCAAAACCAGCGCCATCGACATGGGCTATCAAAAGGGCACCTAAGGAATGGCCAGTACCCTCTGGTAATTTAACATAACTATGGAAAATCACAATTTTTCATGGGAAAACTCACTATAAATGGTGATTTTCCATAGTTATGTTAAATTACCAGAGGGTATCTTGATTTGATGGGTTTATTTCCTTCCCACATGGAATGATGATCATTGATGATCTCGACTTTCCAGGCAGCTGCTTCAAAAGCTGCAACGCCGGTGTGGCACCTCTGGGATGCGCTGGGCTTGCGGGTGCCAAATGATATCCATTACCCATAGGATCCATGTATGGTATATATGCTAACATTTGGGGTATTATTGATGGTAAATGTTATCATATATAGCATACATGGATCCTATGGGTTATTTGGATCGAGTTTCCATACGTTTCCATGATGTTCCTCGTGAAACAGGATGTGATATATAGGTGTTTTTGCCATTGCCTCACGTTGGATGGATGGAGACCAATATTGCCAATATGCTTGATCAGCACCAACAAAACCGATGTTGAAAGCGCGCTTTCTGTTCTGGAATCTGAAGATGGAGCGAGAATAACGTTGAATAAAGATGAATAAAGTGTGTTGAATGCAATCTCACCCTGAAGTAACCAGGAACGAACTTTGCCAAGATTTCAAGCGATTTCCTGAGGTTATTTCGATTCCAATGGCACCTGCACCTCCTGTGCACCTGGATCTTTCCGCTCAGAGGCCATGGGTCCCCCACTTAAAAACTGATAAGTGGGGTGAGATGGTGAGTTTCCCCATCAAATGATGGGAGAACCATGGAGAACCCAGGAATCGGGGACTTGCTTACCAGGATCCCCACAATTTTGGGGGTGCGTGGGGCTGGTCAGACAGGCTGGCCGCTTCCAAAGACACCTGGCTCAAGGCGTCACTGCGCAGATTGCGACAACTCAATGAGTCAAGTGAAGGTAACCGCTACCGAAAGCAACAATATCTTTTGTTTGTTTCTTTTGTTTCTTGGAGTCTGTGTGCTATGCTATTAATCTATGAAAATCTATGATATTATAGTGCAATTGTTTTTCCATGTCTATTCCTGTCTTTTGTCGCAAAGAGTATGGGGTTATAACAGTTGCAAGTCAAAAAAGGCCTACCTTGCAACCAACCTCAAACAAGCCTTACCCTCTGGTAAACTAACATAACAATGGAGAATCACCATGTTTAATGGGCAAATCCACTATAAATGGCCATTTTCAATAGCTTTTTGTATGTTTACCAGAGGGTAAACATCTGAAAACACGTCACTGGGGAGCGAAGTTCGGTGCCATGGCGTCCGAGAAATTCCGAGATGTGGAGGTCTTGGCCCCCATGGTGCGAGGGAGTGGCTCGGCCGACGTTTTTTCGGTGCTACTTGGAGGAACATCCCACGGATCATATGTGGGGTATGGGAACTCTAGGCCATAATTACCATGGGAGAATAGTTATAGTAACTATAGGTGTAATAACAAGGTAAGTGGTACAATTATCCCATAGTACCTATAGATGTAATAACTACCATGTAGTCAAGTCATTTATGGATGGAAGAATCCATGATATTCCACTCAATGGGGACTTGCTAACCTTAGAAATAATGACAGCTGCGGCGAGTGACCAATTCTTGTGACACTCAGGTGACTCATGTGCCAATGGGACAATGAAGGTTTTTACGCGGGAGGGTCATGTTGTTGAGCAGGTTGAGAAGGAGCTTTGCAACCATGGGTGTCTTGATGATTCTTAGTGACATGCAGTCAATGGAATGGAACCACCACATTATTCACGCCATGACATCATGTTGCCTACAACGAACCTATACGAACCGACGCTGCTTGTGAAAGGATACAGATGACACCACGCCTGCATAGAGAAAACCCAAGCCGACGCAAACAGTGGCCTCAGGTACTCTACCTTTGCGCTTGGATTTCTGCCGTTTGCACAGGGGAATGGGAATGTTTTTTCTCGGACTTTAGGGAGACTTCGACTCTTAGGGAACCCTACTAAGTCTTATAAGTAAATGAGCATGGGTTCGAATTCAATATCCCTGAATTCGGTAGATGAACATTCCACTTCCTGCATGTTGACCACGATATACAGCCAGAGACAAATATTTCGGAGCGACATACCTCTGTAAGATGTTTGCTTACTGTATTTTCACAGAGTTGCACAGAAAATGCATCACGTCACACACTTTGACTTTTCATGATTTTTCAGGATATGTGTTTATCCGATAAGATGTTTGGCCAGGCAAGGTGTGAAGAGGTGTTCTCTGAGAAGTTGTATGTCTTAACCAGACCCATGCCAAGGACGTTCAGCACTTTTTATTGGCTCTTTCAACGCGGCAGAATGTAACAAAACTTCCTGGCAACTGAGGAATGCTTGCGATATGGTGCATCTTTGGTTTGGGGAGAGGAGATCCTCGTTTCAAAGATCAATGGGTTCTGCGGTGAAAAAACAAGACGGTATTCTTGTTAAGATCTGCGGGCTCAACTATATAGAAGTTATATAAGAACTTCACTGACTCCAGTAGTTTTGTCATATTGCATTCATGGTTGCCCACCCAGAAGCACCTTCAATCAGTTTTCAGGTCAGCTATGCCAGCTGCAGCCCCACGTTCCCATCCCCAAAAAGTTGAAACATCTGGAATGACCATCCCAACATATGCCAACTATTATCATACAGCAAACCCCAAACAGATGCAGAAAAGTCAAGTTCCTACCTAAAGAATAGTGGTAAATAGTGGGCCCGGTCTAAATAGTTTTAAAAAGACCATGATTAACTTCTATTTACCACGATTTGCCATGATTAACAACTGGGGTGGGCCGGGTGGGGGGTTAGTATACCATGATTAACACCTGAGCTGGGGATGGCTGGCTCTCCATAATCGGCCCTCAGGATCATCGACCGGAAGTTGATCGGCGCCCTTCGCGTCGAGAATTCGGCCTTTGGTAACTTGGTCTCTGGCGCTGAAATGGTGACTGAAATGGGATCATGGGATAATGCTATAACTGGCTGTCTTGGGGATGTAATTGGGATATAATCACATAACGGGAATATTCAATGGGAGATCCAACCAAATATTGATGAATGCCTTCTGGTAATCAAAAGGAGGAAGCTATGCTTGATTATGCTTGATTACAGTACCATATTGCAAACATATTGGACATGCTTACCAGGCTTACCATCTATAGGATATGGAATGGGGGCTTGAGACTGCTTTCACGGTTCCTGCTTTTTGATCATGGCTTTGATGTTGGTATCTTGCCGCAACTAATTCCCGTTCCTTTTTGTCAGGTTGCATCGACTACGTCTCCCCTAGGGACCTGGGGGGTGCGCTTCGGATGTAGCTTTCTGTAGGTTTCCACAGCAGCCATCCTAAGGATGTTGGGATCCTCTAGTATGAAATGCCCGCAGATGAGACCCACATCAATGAGTAGATCCGTACCAAATCAGGGTTTCCTTTGGTGAGTATTTGAACCAGTATTTTCGGGAGTGTCCAATAAACTGGCCCCACCGCTTATATATTAACATTATTAATGGAAATGATTAACTTCCAACCTTTGGTTAAGAATGATTCAGAATGGTTAAAAAGCTTATGTAACTGTCAGTAGTTAACTTTTGCAAGTATACTTTAAAAATATTGAGCAATAGTATGTTACAAATCAACTAATATCAATGAATGGCCAGTTGATATAGTGGTTAAAGAATGGTCTTTACCGTGTTTGAACCATCCACCGGCCTCACCCTCTTGGGACATGTGAACCAGGAGAAGGTCTCGGTGTTTTCCACTTGCGCCGAAGAGACGATGCTCGGGCAGGCTTTGGGTTAGTTAAACGGTGGTGTAACCAGAGAAATCGATAGCATTGAATGGACTAATATATGATTATATAATACTCATTAAGTATGATACAATGATATATATATATATATTATGATTCTATGGATGATGTGGCAGAAAGGTCAGAAAAGAGCCTCTATTTGGGTGAGAGTTCAAGGCATCAAATCAATGGACTTTCAAGTCGTGAGCAAAGTCCAGGGGCTGGAAGATCTTCAGCCACCTTTCCGGCCAAGGAAGAAAGTCATTTTTCAGCTGGGCACGGCTAGTGCCCATCTGGCAGTAGAAGCTGCACAGTTGGTGTGCGACTTGATGGTGAAGAGAGGGATCAAAAGATGGTGTTTCATGATGCGCATATATCCTTATACATCATTATATATTATATCATTATATATCATTATATCTCCAAACCCCAGGGATTGCCAAAGGGCGCTCTCGTGCGTGTCAGTGTTGCGACATGAAATCACGACCGGATCTAGGACGATCATGGATGATCACTCGGAATGTTGAATGACAACATGCCTTCTTCCAGGGTTTCCCCGGAGGGATCTTTGCCATTTTTGCTGCGTGGTTCAAGAATCCAATAGTTCAATATTCCTCAGTAGCTTGAGGTTTTCAGGATCAATGCTAGTCACTAGAATGTGTTCAACATCTGCCCAGTTCAGCAGCCTTGGTCGATCACCTCATTCAGCCACCGCTCCTGAGGTAACGATGTGTCGGGCATTGACGTGCCTGGAATGCAAGGGCTTCACTGATGGTGGGCTCGGGAATTTGATGCTACTGATCACCAGACTTCAAACAATAAGACAATGACGGCCGCCAACTGGCCTGGTTCCCTTTCAAAAATGGATGGAATTGGGATGAATTGGGTAAGTAACCATTAAGTAATCTACCGGTACCACTTCAGATGGGTAAGACCCGAAACGGTGAGAACAAGCTCAAGCATTTGGTTTTCTTTGATCTTTTTCATCCTTTCCGTCGATCCAGTTCTGTTAGTCCTTTGCAGCTTGCCTCAATTCAGAGTAAATTAAAGCAACTTTGCGCCAACCTCGAGATATCTCGAGATAAAACGCTATAAATGATTGTAAATCATGGTTTGGAAGGGTATTCATCCCAGGAATGGTGTGTTTCCAGCTTGGGCATTCGAACTAGCCCAGATTTCAGCGGCCCAAGGTCAACATGGGTTGCCCAAAGTCCTTCAGTGTGAAGGGGGGCATGGGAGCTGCCTTATTGGATAAGCCGGAGGTCGGCACTGGCTGCCCAAGTGGTTGCCCATGGCTGGGGAAATCCCAAGAAAAAATGGAGGTTCAATGGGAAAATCATCGATGAACGGGCGATTCCATTGCCATGTTTGATTACCGGAGGGTTTTTTTTCAATGAGTAAAATTACATGTGCAGCAGAAATGATTGCTGGACCATGTTTAACTTGTTCAGTATCGTTCAGTCATACATTCTTCTGCACTATTCTCTCTCTACATCTATCTAGATCTACGTTTTTCATCGCTTTTTCTACATCTATCTATAGCAACTATAGATCTACCAGATTTCATCCTATGAAATGAGTGGCACCCAGTCATACCGCTCCAGGTCGTGGCGGAGATTCTGACGTCGCTGCGACGTGCCCTGCCCTCTGAGAAGTCGGTGACCTGCAAGATCCGCATGCTTCCGAGCACCGACGCCGGTCAGATCCAATGGGGATTCCATGGGAACATCTGCAGGAAATCCATGGGTTTCCTGGTTCTCCCTTGACGGGATCACGTGAAAAAACGAGGTAACATGATGTAGAATGATGATATCCGGTGTTTGGGTGCAATGATGTTTTCTTCATGTATATGTATATGCATATGCATATGCATTTTATATAATGTGTATATATATATAATTATATATATATGCATGAATCTATGAAAGGCATCTCCTCTGAGGCTCTCATTACTGTGGTTTCAGGATGTTCTGGGTAAATATTTGATTCCTTGTTGCTAGTTATCGCATGCCATGGCATGTTCCTGTAGTCACAGCAGTCTGAAATAGTCTGAATCAGTTTGAATATGACATGATTTGTCGACAAAGATGACACCAAGAGATCATGCAGCTTCTTGCCACCCCGCAAATCACTTGAGCTTGATTTCAACACACACACACACAATTCCCCATTTTGCATCTCAACGGACGAAGTATCTTATTTTTCAGGTCATGCAAAAAACATGGCTTCCTCAGGTTTTCCAACTTTGCTCCCAGCAGCTCCCAGCATCCCTAGGAGAAAACCCGCGATTTCATGCGAGTCTGTGAGAAGAGCGGCGCTGAAGCCATCACGGTGCACATGCGTTTGCGCGAGGAGCGCCCGGCCGAGCCTGCGCACTGGGATGAGATGGAGAGGCTCTGGGATGCCGTCCAGGCCGGGGATCAAGGTGTGGCCACTTGGGAAGAGATGAATCGCATGGAAATGGGCATATCATGGGATATTTGATATCTATTGATATCTAACATGTCTGAACCTGGAAACTGGGATGGTGACAATTTTATTTGCATAGAAAAGGGCATTTTACGGACTGGGGAATATGCGTTTCTATTCGTAAGGCTTAGATTGACACTGCCTCCACCAGGTCCCCGTGTTGGCCAACGGCGACTTCTTCAGCAGACATCAAATCGATGAGTTCTGGAAGCATTGCAAGGAGAAGGGCTGCCGGCCCTCAGGGGTGATGATCGCAAGAGGCCAGCTCTATGGTTGTTCAGTCAGATTTTCCCAGCCCTGGTGTTTGTTCAAGACTAGGTGAATAATTAGGGTAGAATGGCGCCTGCCATACCGATGGTCCCCCAGCTTGCTTGCATGTGCCACTATGCCTCGATCCAAACCAAAGGGACCATGTCAAAGACCATTGGCGAGGCGCCCTGTGGAATCCCAGCATTTTCAGCCGAGAACCACCTGCATTTGACGCTTGTCAGCTGTGGATGCGCTACCAGGGACCAGATTTGTGTCGTGCCGAGACCGGGGTGATTTGGTTGAAACATGTTGAATCCAGATTCTGCTGGCTGAAGATACCCAGTTGATACATGTTGATACCATGTTTATCCAATGGTGTTCATTTTTTCATGATTTTCCATGACCTCCTTTTCAAACCAGGTCCCGGGTTTGGGATCGGCTGAGATCTCTGACCAGGTGCCACATCTTTGGCTGGATACATCGGGATACCTGTCAAATCCATTCAAATCCTTGTTTGGTGAGCCCATCTACATGTGCAATTAGTACTTGGAGATGCATCTCAGTTAGTAGGTCACCAATCACCAACATATTACTTGGGTATATTTCGGTATAATCTCAACAAAGAAGAGATGGGTATTATCTCAATCACCAAAATGTATTTGGGCCTGGGTATATGTTGGGTATTATACCTGTCTTACAACATGTTTTTTATTCTTAGCAAGTGGGATACAGCAGCTATCGCAGTCTGACTTGCACCTCAGGACGAGATGGTCCGCTCCTATGTTCGCAGTGCCGTGGCCACCAATTCCACCTATCAGAACACCAAATGGGTGCCATGGCGCAAGGCCTGGGATGCGAAAAAACGGTGTCATCAAACGTGGCTGGAAAATCCACCAGTGATAGATGATTTTCCCAGCTGTCAACTTCCATTTTAAAATCAAATCTAAACATTTATAGTGGATTTTCGGGCTAGCCACGTTTGATTACCAGACGGAAAGGTCAGTGGAAGTTGGAAAGGAATTGAAGAAACTTGGAGAAATATCTAGCCATAGCTGCTTGATCCTGGGACCGGGATGCGACATTGGTTTGTTTGAAGATAGAATACCCCAAAATCCATTGGTTACTGATGGTTGCTGCATAGCTATCATGCCCCTATCATTGTCCAAAATTTCTCAATAAAACTGGCCATTGTATCCAGTGTGGTAGTTGGATGTATTTGGTGGTATAGCCCATTTTCAGACAAACCCACAGATGTAGATACTATCCCTTCAAGCACTCGCCCGTTTGTCCCCACTCCAAGGTGCTATCTCAGATGTTAGCAGGTGGTGCGCCATTTGCCATGCGTGCCGTTCATTGTCAGGATGTGTTCATCCATGTTCCAGAAGCATGCCGATACCCCTTGGTAATCAAACATGGCAACGGGAAGATCTCAAAGTGCTGATCATTTACAATTTATTGTTTTCCATTGCAACCAACGGAATGATTGTGTTGTGGTTTCAGCCAGCTTCCCTGGCTTCCCTCCCCATGTTTCGCTCTGATGGAAGCCATGGAAACCTCTTGCTTCTCATTCTCACCCAAAACGGAAATTATAATGTATATGTATTGGTAAGCGTTTGTGTGTGCGTGTGCGATATACGGTCATATACTGGAATATTATGTGGTTTCGACATCGTACATCGTACCAAATACATATTGTATATACACTATACATGCAGTTGCAGATTGCAGACACGGGCTAAAATACGTTAAATGGACAAAATGATCGCGAGGGAAATTGGGGGAGTTTCCACCATGATTCTGCAGGTACTGGTGTGACCGTGCCCACTTCCTTCAATGGGATCAACATGAAGACCTTCAACCGTGAGCTGCACGGACAAAGAGCAGAGGGAGAATTTGTGGGAAGATCATTATCAAATGAATTCAAATGACTGGAAAACTTGGAGTCTATCAACTATCCATTAAGAATATTAAAATCCGAAACTCTGTGGAAATTTTCCTTTCAGCCAACCTACAACCATCAATGAAGTATACATTCTTGCTTCATGAACTGCTTCCCCAGCACCGGAGGAAAGCCCTTCGGGTTAGGGATCTCAGGCTGGCTTACCGCCAGAAACCTTCCAGGTTTCTCAGGTAGCTTCACTTCGGAACTGTTCTATCGATCCTTTCTCCGTCTCGCATTGTGCAGAAGGAAAGCTGTTGCAGTTTGAACATCACCTTTACAAACGTTTGAATTTCATGGTAACCATGTTTGGCAATTCGATGAAGCTATTGCTGGGTTGAAAGAGTGCCCCTATACCCTGCAGACACAATGTATCACAACATGGAGGTGTCCTAAAATATCTAAAATGGGGGTACCTCTTGGTTCATCATCCATTGATCCATTACTCAATATCTGGTTGGTGGTTTCAAACATGTTTTATTTTCCATTTCATATATGGGATGTCATCCTTCCCATTGACTCATATTTTTTCAAGATGGTTATTGCACCACCAGCCAGATATTCTTTTCCATTATAATCATCCGTTAATCATCCATTAATCATCCATTAATCATCCATTGATCACCCATTAATCATCCACTGATCATCCATTAATCATCCATTAATCATCCATTGGTCATCCGTTAATCATCCATTAATCATCCATCAATCATCCATTGATCATCTATTAATCATCCATTGATCATCCATCCATCATCCATTGATCATCCATTAATCATCCATTAATCATCCATTGATCCATCCATTAATCATCCATTGGTAATCCATTGATCATCCATTAATCATCCATTGATCATCCAATAATCATCCATTAATCTGCATTGATCATCCATTGATCATCCATTGATCATCCATTAATCATCCATTAATCATACAATAATCATCCATTGATCATCCATTGATCATCCATTAATCATTCATTAATCATCCATTGATCATCCATTGATCATCCATTAATCATCCATTAATCATCCATTGATCATCCAATAATCATCCATTGATCATCCATTGATCATCCATTAATCATCCATTAATCATCCATTGCACTCATTGATCATCCATTAATCATCCATTAATCATCCACTGATCATCCATTAATCATCCATTGATCATCCATTAATCATCCATTAATCATCCATTAATCATCCATTGATCACCCATTAATCATCCACTGATCATCCATTAATCATCCATTAATCATCCATTGGTCATCCGTTAATCATCCATTAATCATCCATCAATCATCCATTGATCATCTATTAATCATCCATTGATCATCCATCCATCATCCATTGATCATCCATTAATCATCCATTAATCATCCATTGATCCATCCATTAATCATCCATTGGTAATCCATTGATCATCCATTAATCATCCATTGATCATCCATTGATCATCCATTGGTCATCCATGAATCATCCATTAATCATCCATCAATCATCCATTGATCATCTATTAATCATCCATCAATCATCCATTAATCATCCATTAATCATCCATTGATCATCCATCAATCATCCATCGATCACCCGTGAATCATCCATTGATCATCCATCAATCATCCATTGATCCATCTATCCATTTTGATCCATTGTGGGGGTCCAGATGTCCAGGCTCTCAGCCACCAAATCGATGGCCCACATTTGCACCGCCTTTGGGGAGCCCTTCGAGCCCACGCACCCTCATCGGGACGGAGCTGGAGGTTACAAATGGATATCACCATGGTTATCAACCCCACAAGTTGGGATATAACCCCTATAACTATATCTATAACTAATAGTATTAATCGCAAACTATCCACTTAGAAAATTAGAATTGCACTTCCAAGTAGTGTGGTAGAGAAAAATATGCCGTGGGCAGAAAAAAACAATTTTGGCGGGGCTACATATGTTTATACAGATGATACCACCCATTTCTGGTGAAATTGGGGAGTAGTTGCTTCAATTCCAAATGATTGGCAACAGGATAGGTTGATCACCCCTTACCTGTCAGTATGGCAGCGGGTCATATGCCGCACACACATACAGGGACTGGTGGGTGACCCAAGCAAATCTTGATATAAGAAGTTATGCAAGTCATTCAAGTCTGATCTGAAAATGCACCATTTGTATCAATTCCTTACACCCTGCACTAGTACCAACTACCTTAAGCTGATGCAGATCATGTGCGCAGGGTATCGTGCGCGCCCGATTTCCATGTGTCAATTGGGTCATGCAGTAGGTAACTACTTGGAACCCTAAACCAGTGTTGTCTTTTCTAGAAATGCGCCTTGTGGTAACGTGTGTTTGCTTTCCATGGTTGGATTGCCCATGATGCCTTCGTACGCTGCAGACTATTACCACCTGATGATTTACCGCACCAAAGGAAGATCGGGAGGGTGATAGGGTGTTTTGTCATAGAGTTCTGATGAAGTTCTGAATCCCTTTGAATGAACAAGCTCTTTTGCGGTGTGGTAAATTGTGACGAACCAATTTTGCTGGAGATGTCCGAGGTATCCCAACCGTGCGCACACCACGGTCTTCTACAAGGATTTTCCGTTTCCGGAGGAGGAGCGCCGTCCATCCAGCTAGTTATCTAGCATAATTATGTTGTGTCTACTCATAAATTTTTGTGAGTTGTTGATTAAATCCACCCTTTAAAATATTATAAAATATTTATAGAAAGGTTATATCACTGGTTTTTATATTCATATAATTCATTTATTCATAAATATATATATATATACACCTGCTGTAGTTTCATTGGCATATACAGCGGGGAGCGTAGCCGCAGGACCCCCAGAAGCGCTCCCGTTTGCCGCCTGTCGACGCCGAGATCGAGTCGCCGCAGAAGTGTCGGCGCATGGATCCGGGTGGTGAGAGCGCTTAGCCCTGAGCTGTCCACGAGGGGTTGAACATGTGGTAAGAAACCCACAAACCAACAATAGGGGCGGATATCCCCGGCAAAAAAGGAGAAGTGTGGAATTGGGAGGCTTTTGTTATCTTTTGTTCAAAGAAATGGATTTTGCACAGCAAAACAACAGATTTATATAACCCTTCAATCCAAGCTACCTGAGACTGAGATGATCCCCACTGACGAATAGCATTCAGGGGGCTAAAACCATCGACCAGTGGAAGTCAGGTGGGATTGCCCACAAAAAGGACCAGCTTGGGAAGAAGTAGCGCTAGCGCCAAACCGCAGCCTTCTAGAAATGAAAACATAGCCCGTCGTCGCTGCACTAGCCATGGGTAGAAAGAACCAGTGGTTTACCCAAACTTCGCGGGTTTGATGGACTCTTTCGCATAATTGGATGTCACTCATAGAAGCATAGAGCATTTTTGGCAGACAAGATGATGGGGTCGGATTTCCAACTGAAGCTGCTGCAAGGTACCGATCGTGAAAGCCCATCAAAGTTGTCAGAGGGGCCATTAAGAAACTTTCACTATCCCAGGTCAAGCGGTAGTTCATGAAAATAGGCGGAAATTCAAACAGCCTTCCTTAGCCTTGGCATTTTGATGCCGCCCATGGCAGCCCATGGTCCATGCACAGCGGGTGAGATGGGCAGTAGCTGTTCGCTTGACATGTCAGGGGATAGCGGCGCATCAATGTGTTGCTTGTCCAGCTGGAAGATTCAGCAGTGAGTCTTGCCGGCCGCAATTTTGAGATGTGTTGATGACAGATGCACTTTTTAGGGCACAACTTTTAGCCGCCAGCTGCCAGGGCGGCGGCAAGCTGTATCCCTTGCATGGTGGGCTATGCGGCACCAACCCTTGGAATGTGGGGATGGCCCAGTGATTTTTCTGTCGTGAGATGATGTGGGATGTGGATTGCATCAGGTTGTGTCTTCAGAAGATGTCAGCAGACAGGTCTGATTTTCAATTGGTATAAATTGGTGCTGGTTGTTGTGGATGAGCTACTGTGATAAACTGGAAAGATATGGAAAGCCAACATGTTGTTTTGTGTCCGTGAGATTGTACGCAGGCACAGTTGTGAAGCATGTCGACCCGGAAGCTTAGTTGCACCTTGTGCAGGGGGTGAAGCGAGGTGCTGAGGTGCCAAAAAGTCGGCGATATTTGGCAAGCTATGTACCATGACAGGGAAGTGGGAAATCTAGGAATTGTCCATTTTTATCAAGTCGGTAAATCATCGAGGAGAGATAAGGCTCCCGAACAATCCACATGTTTTGAGTAAGTCATCAAGAAGTGTTGGATCACCAGATCCAGATACATCCCATTCAACATATTCAGCTCCAGGATTCTTCAGTGCCCTGGAGGGTGCCAAGTTCTGCGGTGCTTGCTTGGAAGGTCGGATCAGCGGTGGTGAAAAGCGGGTGGGCAAACAATGGAAGATGATGGTGACGTATGGTGACGACGGTGATGGCACCGCAGAAATATGGGTCATATGGGTCATTGAATTCCATTTGGACTCATTTCGTAAGTTATCTTTTATAGAGACCTTCTATAGATGAACCTTGTCACTCCTGCTGTCAGCAACCTCATGGTGGCTGGCTACCACCACATCCTTCTGGCAGGTGAGTGAAAAACAATGAAAAACAAATCAGCCAAATTAGCGATTTTCTTCCACACAACATTTCCGACATTTTCATGTTTTCCCTGAATTATATACATCAAATCAGGGCATTCCACTGCTAAATGAAAGGATGATACCTGAAATATTGCAGTCGGTCATGTCACATTGCTGCACATTCTGTGATGCTAGGTTACATGACAGTTTCCGTGCGCCGCATGCTAGCAAACTGCTACAGACATTTGGCATTCACTACAGTATATGCATGTATATGCTATTATAGGCATGTTCCCGTCCCATGCAGCTGCCTTTTCCCATTGCGGTTGCGGTTGGTGAAAGGCCACTTCAGCGGCGCGTTCGCTTCTTCAAGGTCGGACCTTGAGTTCGGGATGTGCTACTGCTACTCGGTATTTGAGCTGTCTTCGCACCAAATTTTCAGATATGTTTAGTTTTCATCACGATTGTCCAAGATGGTCTCCATGGACATGATTCATGTTTTCTTGGACCTCGGATGGGTTGAAACAGGTGTACTTGTTGATCCAGTGTCTGCGGGGTGAGAACTCGATCATGGATCAACTGTTGCTTCTGACATCTCTTGCTGGGAAGTCACTAACATGGCAGACATTGTCCATTTTGCGGCCATATGGCTTTGTTTGATAACCCCAAACTCTCGTGGTTGACCATCCTTTAAAAACGAAGATTGCAATTTTGAGGGGTATTATTTCTTATGATGATTGTTTTTCCTATGGTGTCCAAGGGGTGTCCCCAATATTTGGACAAACCCTTGAGAATTTGGAGCATGGGTATCCGATGGCCGCTGGTACGGTGGCCACGTCCGTGCCATGCCGGACGTAGGGGACCCTGGCCTCGGCAGAGAGGAGAAGATCAGCGGGGCACCATGGTTTTCCTATGGTTTTCCTCTGGTATCCAGCATCCCCTGCGCCAGGTGTGAGAAGTGCCCGGCAGGTACCGCCAGCAAGCTGACCGGTAGCAGTGAGCCTTGGACGGCATCGATTTTTTAGATGAATTTTGGTGTCAGTTTGACCTTCAAAATCTATGGAAAGTCCATATTTTGGGCTCGACCTAGGTGCCTTGTTTTCCACGATTTTAGACTTTGCCTTGAAATAGCATTTTTTCAACGTGAAAATGCATGTCCGTCCTGAATTGGTCAAGCTTAATCTGGAGACTAGAAGCGCTTGAGCCTTTCTGACACATTGCCCCAAGGTTTGCGAGGATTGCCCTCCTGGATCATACAGTGAAGGACTTCGTTGCACCTTGTGCCGCGACCTGGAATTCAGAGACGGCTGACAGAACTGACAGATCTGCAGTGGATACCATGGCATTATCTGCCCCTGTTCCCCCATAGGCGCTGCATCGACACCTGTAACTGCAGGTGCCCTGTGGGACAATATCAACACCTCTCGCGGCAAACCAAGTGCTTGGAGGAGTCCTGTCCCAACAGATCCAACAGCGAGCAAAGAACAGGGTACGGCTACAGAATGATAAAGGGGGGAGGTAACTTCAGTTTCCAGGCACTAGGGCAAGTAAAGTACAGTAGTGGCTACATATCAAGATATGTTCATTGGGGAAAATAAGGAACCATTGCTAAAAATTGGTCAAAATGTTCGCCATGTCATAACTTTTCTGGCTCTTTGGGTTGTTGCTGCATGCCCCACAGCGCCAGGACGGTCTAGGCATGTTGAGCCCGGAGTGTGAACCTTGGTGCTGGGTTGCAGGTCTAGTTCGAGCTTATTCCTGAGGGCTTGAGTTTGAGCTCCAGAGCTCACCAGTAATCTTTAAGGTTGGTTCAGATGCTCTAAATGGCTGTTATATGCTGTTATAATTCATCTCCACTTCTGTGACTTCTGTGTTTTCATTTTTTTCTCCATTGATCCTAGACCAGAAGCTTGCCTCGCGCCGCGCATGTTTGACGGCTGAGTGCAACTGCAGCGTTACATAAAGCTAACGTCCCAAAGAGGTGACAGACATAGATAAATAGATTGCCTTCCAGATCCTTCCGGCATGAACCAAGTGGACTTGATGATGCACTCAGCAAGCAGCTGTGCATCACTGGCAGCCAGCAGTAGTTTCCTAGCAACCTTTTCGTACCCTGCTCTTTTGAAACAAAACTTGGTCGAAGTTATTCAATTTCAGCCAACAACACCCACCCAACTACCAAGTTTTATATAGGGCGTAGCCAGTGGTTGCCACTGTCTTCGGTTATCCTGACGCCATGGGTTGCGCCCAGAGCAGCGCTTCGGTCCATATCAAAGTCTCTGGGCCAGGCCAGGATTTTTCGGTTAGGCATGGTCAGTACAAAGATGATGTATATTTACAGTATATAATCTGTTTATTTAAGAGGGAAATTTGACGATCAAAATGATCTGGATTTGGGGATTCCCTATTTTCAGACGGAACCATATCAGTCACAACAGATTTCGAGCTATGGGACTATGAGCTTTAACACCAGAAAATTCAATGAAAGTGGACGGAAATTCGAGCCTTAAATCACTTGCTCGATAGGGGTTTGGCCGGGCCCTGTCACATTCGGCCATTTGGCTCTTTCTTCAGGGACTGGGGATGCGGAAAATCAATGAAAATGTCATAGGGTTTGACATTTTGACCATTTTTGACCCATCCCCACCATATGCAATCACGGTACCTCTACCATAGTTACCCATGGTATGGTTAGTACATATCCCCTACCATGGTTTGAACCGCCAGTGGCGTGCAAGGTGGCACTGTTCACTACCATGGGGGAGCTCCCAGGGCTGGTGGCGCGGGTGGTGGTGGTTTGCCACCGGTAACAGCACCCGTGCAGCAACATGGCTAGAGAAAGGGAGAGGCTGCTGGGCTCGGAAACGTATCGTTTTTTGTTTTTGTGGTTTAGCCGTTGAACCGACAAAGTGATTGTCAAGTACAAAACGGGGAGAATGTCATCAAACAAAACTGGGGATGGCCATGGCGAATTGGGCACTGGTTAAGAATGAGGTTAGAGGAGGACTTTTGCTCAAGTATTTGGCCATACTAGCATGGTAGGGTGGCCCTGCACCCAGAGAAATGACGCCCAATATCATCCAAATAGTTAGTTGTGACTCTACCCGAGCATCATACCTTCTGCTTTCTAGTTTTCCAATAGTAACAAATTGATATATATATATATATATAATTGGCAAAACGACCCCGAATTTCTATGAGATTCTCTTCCATTGATTTCAAGGTTCCATCAGGTGCCCAGTTGGGGACCAGTTTCGCAGCATTGCTCCCAGGGCGAAGCAGGGCTCCATGATGGTCAAGGTGCCGGTGGGCGCCAAGCCGGGCCAACTCTTGCAGATGCAGACGCCAGATGGGCACCTGGGCCACCTGGGCAGCCTGGGCCGCCTGGGGCAAGGAATGGGCCCAGAT